GCCACTGGAGACCAGTAGAATCAGCCAAAGCAACCCAAGCAGAGTGAGACACACCAGACAACGACACCAACACTGTCTTGCTGATATTGACTTTCGCATTAGATGCTCGGCCATACAGATCAAGAACAGACAACAACACAGACCACTCTTCTGGCGAAGACAAAAACACCTCAAGATCATCCGCATAGCTCAGAATCTTGACAGGAGGAGGAGCAACAGAGCCACTAACAAAGTCCAAAGTCCAATTCCGGGCACCAGTACCATGATCCACACGAACTTCAACCGGTGAAGGCTTCCATTTACGTGGGATATCAACAGGAGACAGAGTAACACCAGAGAGACCAGGACAAGCAAGAAGAGAACGAAGCAAAGGCTCAAATGCCAGATTGAATAGCAATGGAGAGAGAGGATCACCTTGACGAAGACCTCGCAACTGAGGTACAGGAGCACCAAGCCAACCATTGATAGACACTGAAATCTTGGTTCCAAAGAACAAAGAAGACAGACAAGACACCAACTCACCAGGGAAACCAAACCGGAGCAACACACGACAAAGATACTCGGGATGAACCCGATCATACGCCTTCTCTTGATCCAACAAAACAGCCACTTGAGGTAAATCAGGAGCAACAACACGCAAGTGAGACATCAACAACTGATTTAACCAGCCATTGTCAGAGATCAGACGATGAGGGAGAAAACCAGTTTGATAAGGGTTGATTAACTTTGGCAACACTTTGTTCATACGATTAGCAATGAGCTTTGTAAATAACTTGGCATCACTGTTAATTAAGGACAAAGGTCTCCAGTTAACCAACAACTGAGGGTCACCCTTCTTGAACAATAAGACCATACGAGTTTGCTGCCACGAAGGAGGAAACACACCAGAAAAAGCTGCACCCAACACATCCACAAGCAAGTCAAGAAAATCAGTTGAAACACCAGCAAGATATTGATATAATTCAAAAGGCAAACCGTCAAGACCAGGACTTTTAGACTTGGGAGCATGAGTGAGCAGAGACAACAAAACCTCGCGAGTTGGAAGTTCCATTAGCATATCACCATCCAAAGATGATAGACGTACATCAGTTGGAACATTCCCCAGGAGAGTATCGATAGCTTCAGCATCGACAGCATCAGGGGTATATAGCCTTTGGTAAAAACCTTGTGCCTCCCTGTTGATAGCTGCTGCTTCCACCAAGATATCTCCAGTAGTAGAGCACTTTAAGGATTGAATTGTCTGTTGAGACTCTCGCACCTTGATCGAACGATAGAAATACTTGTTGCTACGTTCTCCCTGTTCTAACCAACGAGTGGCAGAGCGAAGCATATTCTGACTAGTCTCTTTCTGTATCTGATTCTCAATCAAAACTTCTAGTTGCCTGACCTGCTGCTCAGCATCACCTGTAGCAGTAGACACTCTGTCAGTTTGATCAATAGCATTCCTAGTCTCAACACCTGATACAGACGTTGACAGAGCCCTAATACGTTCCAGTTGAAGCGTAAAAACTTTGTTCTTGAATCGTGCTTTCATGCTTCTAGTGTACTTTTGTGCACAGCACTTTAGTAACAACTTGAAGGATTCCCATCTAGCCACCGTGCTTTCAGGGTCACCACTACCACCTTGACTAGTATTGACACCCTTAGACCCACCACCAACAGCACCAGAGAAGAACAATGACACCGTGGCATTCAACAACGCAACAAATTCCTTATCATCAAGCAGAGTTGGATTAAACCGCCAACTACCAGGACCAATACTAGCTGTCGCAGGCAACATTTCAACAGTCAAAAGAGAGTGATCCGTCCACCTACTGGGCATATATAGTAACTGACTATTAGTCAAACGAGGAGCAAGAGAAGAGTGACCAAAGATGTAATCAATACAAGTATTGCTCTTTGGAAACGTAGCTAAACCATCCGGATGACAATTGACAAAGTGAGTACGCAACCAGTGAACAAAAGGAGCGACATCGGCTTGACGAGAAGTAGGCAAAGAGTGCAAGTGAATGTTGAAATCACCCATAACCATCCAAGGTGTGTTGAACACATCAGACCAAAGAGAAAGAGAGAGAAAATCAGAGATAAATGAAGGACGGTCAGAAGACTGCGCTGGACCATAGATGTTGGCCACTTTGCACAAAACATTGCTTGAGGCATCTACGACAGATGCAACAAGACAACGTTCATCCAACAATACCTCCGTATCCACCAAAGAATAGCGAGAATTGAGACATATAATAGCACAGTGCTTGGACACAACGAGAGAACAATTAGGAAAAGCAAAAGAAAAGGAACGGACTTGAGATTCAGTGAGAGTAGATTGAGAGCGGAAATGAGATACCTCTTGCAAGCAAAGGATATCCAGATGGAGAGAGGAGGAGCGAAGATAAGATGAAAACTCTTTGAAATTTGTAGGATTAGACTGCATGAACAAGCTACGCGTGTTCAAGGAGCCAATCTTGATGCCTAATTTTGTACTCATTGAGCCCTACGGGCGTCTTGCTTAGTCTTGAGAGGCAATTTGCCATTGTTCTTGCTATTCTTGACACCAACAGCACCAGCAGACTTGTTACCAAGAACACCAACACCAGTACCAGAAGCAACACCAGCACCATTCACAGCCTTCAAATTGGCATTCAATTCCATTCGCTTCCTCTGAGAGGCCTCCTTGAGCTTAGACAAACCCATCATCTCCTCTGGAGAGTCAACATTCATAGTAAGAGCCACCTCATTAGAAGCGTATTTCGAGAATGCAGAGCCACGCACATCAGGAAGCTTCTTGACACCACTACCAGCAAGCACGATCTCATCATCTTCTTCCATAGCATCATCTCCGTGTAACTTATCCTGATGATCTTCACCTTGAAGATCCTCCATTTGCACCTCCAAATTATCACTTTTAGTGGACTTGTCATTTTCAGACGCGTCAACACCATCAACAACACCCTGAAGAGATTCTTCCTCTTCGTCTACTACAGACTCGAGTTCTTCTTCTTCGACTTTCTCTTCCACTTCCCTACCTGCTCCTAGCTTTGCCTTAGCAACGAAATCCATCAAATGCACCGTCTGTCGACGTGCCTCAGTGACCTCCTCCGAATCCTTCAGTTGATGATCCACCTTTTGCTTCTTGGCACCAGATTGATCCTCCTTATTAGGACAAAAACGCAACATGTGACCATGCTTTCCACATCCATAACATCTACGCTGGAGCAACTCAGGACATTTAGCGCGGACATGACCACTATGACGACAGAAATGACAAACAGGAGGAGCACCCTTATATGTCGCTGCGACAAAGAAATCAAACTCGCTGAGATAGAGCATTCTATCTAGAGGTTGAGCCTCCTGCCACTCACCACCCTCTACCTGATATCCCACCGAGGTATCCACCATCACCGAAAACTTGCCCTCAAAGAAACCACCACGAGTGAACTTCTTCACCTGCAGGACACGACCATAAAACGACAAAGACTTGATCAAATCATGCAAAAAAGTGGGTTCTTTGACGATGCGCATCAAAGTAAACTGGACAAACTTCAAATCACCAAACTCCTTGCATTCCTTGGCGTGAACAGCCTTGTACACCATGCCATTCACGTTAACACCAGTTGTCATAGCCTTGTTCGCATCATCCACCTCCTCGAACTTGGCTTCAATAAGCAAAGAACCATCGTTCTTTTCATCGTAGACACTTAAAGGACGAAATTCCACCAGAGAAGACACCTGGGTTTGAATTACCTTGTACGCATCCACACGATCACCAAACAAACCCTTACGGAAAGAAAAGAGAACTGAACCAGAAGTAAGTGCCTGCTGCACAATCGCCATTGCCTTACTAGCTAAGATTTGACTCTTCAAATCATCATCCTCAAACATCACAGAACCCACCAAAGGGTAAGAAGAAGCGGCGGCCTCCACCGAACGCCTCTTGGATGGCTGATAGAACCTCATAGTAGAACCACGAGATGCACGTTCAGCCCAAGTCATTTCAGAATTGACTGACATAGAGTGTAACTTGTAACTGGAGTGTAACTTTTGTTGACCTTTGTAAAAAAAAATAGTGAAAATGTTGAATTCGTCGAAAAATTGCTGAATCGATCTGAAATCAAGATATGTTGTAGAGCTGAAATGGATGTATCTAAATATACTTGGATGCAAGATGGATGTATCCTAGTTGTTGAGATATCGTCGTTCAAAGTTGGCAAAAACAAAAACTTTTTGAAAAGTGATGTATAAGCGAAAGAGCCTTGAAAGAGCCTCGTTGTTCAAAGATGGCGTAATCGAAAACTTTTAAAAAGTGATTGGTAAAAACCTTGTGCCTCCCTGTAAGAAAAAAAAAACACCGAAATCTTTACAACCTATTCATCACATCAAAATATATTCGCGAGAAAACACCTATACCAATTTGTTTACAATTATAAAAATATTATTTATAAAAATAGAATAATTAAATTATTTTTACAATATAAACTATAAGTTAGCAATGTCAATAAAATATATTTATTGTAATACATATTATATATTATAGTATGTGAATATATGTAAATATATATTTATTTTTTATTATATTTTTATAATGTATTTAAATTATTAATTTATTTTACTAAATACTGTTTAATATTATGTTTTTAAATATTACTTTTTAAAATAGTTATAAGGTTTGTTATAATAAAATAAATGTAAAAATTAAATAATAAATAAAAAACAAAAAAAAAATTTATAAATAATTCATAAAAGCTTTTGTTTTATTTTTATCTTATAATTTGTTTAGCGATTACGTAAAATCTTAATTTCTTTGGTAAATGGCTTGTAGACGAATAGGTTCTCTTTGCTTACAGTTAAGTTTGAAACTTCAACACGCGAGGTTTTATCCTTCAAAACTATTAAAGGCTTTTTTTTTTTTATGCAAGGCTCTTTCGCGTATTCATCACTTTCTATAAGTTTTTTTTTTTTTTTTTTTTTTTTTTTTTTTTTTTTTTTTTTTTTTCTATTTTACTATGCCCCGTTCTGATGGTGCTACCCCTTGGATGCCAGATTGTACTCATTGGACTGTCTCCAACTCGTCTCGTTCTGCTGCTCCGGTTGCTCGTCTCTCTCTTGGTGCTTTGCGAAGGTATTGGCACCCTGCAAAGGGTACCATTACCTCTCGTATGGGTCCTCCCTTGAAGTTGCCTGCCCATTTGTTGCTGTCTCCTGCTTCGTGGCGTCTTTTCTGGTCCCTGGAAATGCCTGCAAAGGCTTTCACACCTTGGTGGCGATTGCTACATGACCGTGTCCCGCACCGTTCGTGGTGCCATAGGATTATGCCTACAAAAGTTCTGTCTCCTGCTTGTGCTCTTTGTGGTTTCACTACCGCGAAAAACTTAGCGGAAATGCTCTAAAATAGGTGTTTTTGTTGGTGCTTTTTTACAGCCAAAGTATTTGGAAAAGTTGGTGCTTTCGGTACAGGCTTCAAAATTAAAACACTCTAAATTTGGCGTCAATGCGCTAAGTGGTACAAATTGAAAATATTCCATCAACATTGCGGCACAAAAGTAAACCTTATTGAAAATAGAAACTGTTGTATAGCCGATGATATTTACTGCATTACACAACAATTGAATCCTATACCGTGCAACGTTGTTCAGCTAAAAGACCAATAGTTGCTCATGGGGATTATGACATTGGAATGATATAATTGGTGGATCTTTATTAATAGAATGCGCTATATATTACTCCTGGGGCAATTGTTGGGGCAGCAATCGTGCGATTATTGGATAGAATGATATGGAAAGCAGGATTATTGATGGATAAAATTGTCTTTTATTGATGGAAATATAGCAGAATATAGAATCATTGCTTTCAAATACATGCAGCGTGCTATACACATGGTAATGGGACGTTGCTCCGTTGGGTAGGCAATTCCTTTGACTCGTTATACAGCAGTTAGCTAGCTACCCTGTCATTCAAGAGCCTCCTGATTGTATTAAAGATAAAGCGGCAATAGCTATACATGTTTACCCATTACGAAGAGTTCCATACAAGAGTAACAGAGATGAGGATTGACATGGAGATAAGCAGCCAGATTAGAGTTGATTGGCACCCACCACACGAGTATCTAAATGCAAAACTAATGTTAGTCATAGAGTTCAATCCTGAAAAATATTTAACAGCATACCACATTTGCCACGTACCATCATCGTAAACTTGACACACAAGCAGAACAACAACAACAGGATAGGAGGCGGTCATGAGAAACTATAAGAGATGATAGGAAATGTGAGCAACGATGGTACGGCACGATGTAAGATGCACAGAGTGATTGACAACTTACAAATATACTTTAGTATATGCTGATTAGCGAAGATCTTCCAGCAGCAGCACCAGGGGAGGATGTTCTATTCTATATTCAATGTTTAGTCACTGCCATACTTCTCAGATGATGCTCCTTACCTACCGTTATTCCCACAGAGATGATTAAAACGGTGTGATACTAATAGGCAACAGCCACATTCGAGGAGAACCTACTGCGTTATCATCTGGCGTATGCTGCCGATAATATGTTTTTAATAAGAAAGCCACCAACAGAAACATTTGGTCAGATAAATTACTTACTTTGTACCAGAAAATGAATTGAAATTACGGAAAGAAAAGAAAAGAAAAAGGATTTAAAATAATTCACGAAAAAAATACTCTTTTTATAGACAAAATTTAAAGTTTTATTACAGCATGTCATAACCATCAGAGTAGTAATAGTCATCAGCATCATCATTCAAAGCCCACTCCCCCCAAACATACGTTATCCAACGATCCGAAAGCTTTTGAAAGTCATCAACGTGTTCCCCCTCCATTGTAAAGCACATTGCTACTATAAGAGAAGAATAGACACACTGCATCATTGTATAACTGACTTTGCTTTTTCCTTCCAGACTGGCATCATTCAAACGCTTCGTTAGCACTCTTTCATAATCACAAGCTCGTGCGTAGTACATGAAATGATAGCTTGGATTATTTTCAATATCAAGCGCAGGTCCAAAGCGATACTTGTAATATTCAACGAAGCGCTTTACAGTGCTACAGACAGATGTGCAATGATAATTAATACTTTATTCAAAGAACTCGCATGACGTATTATTTCTATTCTAACCTCATCAAATCTGCAGAGGAACAGGAACTCCAGCTATAGTCTAGGTAAGATTCACTAGGGTCTCTTGGAACCATTGGGGTTGCGTGTACGCTTCTTGATGCAGCTAAGCGACCAGCAGTAGAGTTGCGGAAATCTTCATTATCATCGTCATCTTCACCCTCATCTGGGCCATCATCACCACCAGGACAATTGCCAGTAGCTCCATTACCAGAAAGAGAAAAAGAAGACGAGAAACCATCAAAAGAGCTACTGTCAGAAGTACTACCAATAGCTCTTGTTGCAGAACGGCGGCGAGTCTTGTGGACAGAAGCCAACAGAGCAGTGGCACCCCAGCTGTTGGTACAACGATGCAAGATGAACCCATACTTCTGCGCATGTGCTTCAAAATACAGAGCATGCTTCAGGATTAATGCCTCATCCACACGACTCCAAGCTGGAACGACCTTGTCATCTACGGCCAAATCGTTGACATAATAGTATTCATCAAGAAGACGTTGGTGATAAACTAGACACATCTTGCGAAGGGCTTTGTATTGAGCAACGACAATCGGATGATTGAAAGCGTAACCCCTTTCATTGACGTCCCCACTTGACTTCATACTAAAGTTAATGAGGCCAAGCAAACGAGTTCTGGCATCAGGGTAAATGGCATTTCCTTGGGAGTTAACCTTGCCAGAGTTGATCCAGTATTCCAAAATCTCAGGGACAACTGGATTTATATCGCGAGGGCCACGCAAATTAGGGTTTCCTACAGGAGCAGGAGCCAAGTTACGCGCTAAAATAAATAACAATGTCAATGTCTATTTCAATTCAATGCACATCAGTGTTTACCTGTAGCAATCACTCTTCCGACATCAGGTTTATTGCCAAAAACACCATCATTCGTGGGTTGAACGGGAGGAAAGGTAGGAGACAACTGCTTGATGAGTTCCAATAAAAGATCACGATTAAGCTTAGACTCTTCCTTGAGTTCACCAACAAAAGCCTTGAGCTCCAGCATCTCTGTCTTGATAGCATCGAGGGGAGAAGCTTGGGTGCGAATGGTTCTGTAGTTATTGTCCATTTTAGTGCAAAAATAATAAATTTAACTTATAAATAATAGTTGATACTTTCCTGAAAACCAAGACACATGTTGCCCTTTTATACGTTCCATCCTGCTCTTGAATTCTATCTTTGCCATTCCAAGTGTCTTAATGACTCACTACTTGTCTTTATTACTTGGACTTGATAGAGTCTTCATGAGTCATTAAGTCAGTTCAAAGTGAGCACCCTCTGTAATAACGCGACTGTAAGTTCGTGTAATGTCAACTGTCAATCATCTTTAAACTCACAGTAGCAAAACATCCAAACATTGAGACACAACCGACACCTTTGTGCAACTTGAAGAGTCAAAAATCACTATTAGTCATAGGTGCTACTATGTACCACAGAGACGATCAAACTACTATTTAAGCTTCACTACACATCAATTTGGTCTTGTTGTCATTCATTTATACATCACCTTATCCTCTCAAAATGCCTGCACGACGAGTTTCAGGAAACTGCGAAAAGTGCCACATGCCTTACAATTCTGCTAGAGCATTGAGGACCCACTATGCAAACTCGACTTTTTGCGAGCCCAAGAAAGCAAGAACAGAAGACACTCCCTTATCGAATAGTCAAGAACGATCCCAGGCAAGCATGCATTCACAAGACGATACTCCAACGGCTACCACAAGTAATCAAGGAAATCAGTCATTACAGCAGCATGCTGCAGAGCAAAGAATAGAACGTGAGTTGTGTGAACTATAAGCAATGCATGACGTACCGTTCTAACTCCCATCTAAGTGCCATCAATTGAGTCCTTTTCATACTACAGTAGCTTCACTCTTGAACAAAAGGAAGGCCTTCGACATGTATATGATCTTGACACCCTCTCTTACGCCACTGATTTTAATGAAAGTGAATTGCTTTCATTGAAGCTCCGTGACATATTCGACAAGTATCCAGCATCGAGAGAAATGAGTCGTGAAAGTATATACTTTACAAATACAATCATTAAGAATATAGCAGAGGCAGGAGGTGGCACTGAAAGAGGTAAGCATATGAATACCACTATGCATTGTATCTTCAAACGCACTCACCATATTGACATCTCCCTTTAATGCACAAAGGCATTGTATTTCCAAAGCTGATTCAGTTCGATACTCTAGAGGCGCGCATGAGAAAGAAGACAAGCGTACAAGCATTCATCTACAAGGTCTGTCCTCAAGGCTGCAAAGTTTATCCCAAGAACGATACATCAGTCCAAGGAGTGTGCAATCACTGTGCAACTCCCAAAAGCGAAGCACAAAATATGAAGGTCTTGAGCATCGGTGATCAGCTAGCAAGAGTCTTGAGTGACAAGTCCAAACGAGGTGAGCTCATGTCGTATCGACGTAACTACCAACATGATCCACATTTTTACCGAGACTACTTTGACGGTCAAGAGTACATTAACTTTCAACAAAGACGGAAAAGACATGGCACCAACGTAGATGAGGAACCTATTCTGCTTGCCTTGTATGTCGACGGCTTCAAACCCCAAAGCAACTCTTTTGCTGGCGATACCTTAACGCTATTCCACGTTGTAATTTTGTCAGCCCCTCCACACCTCAGGTGAGTTATCTCTATTTGTATGGGTATAATATCCAATTAGTACCGGATTCTAACCACCAACGATATTGCATTTATGTCTACCAACCCACAGATACTTGGATGACTGGACTGTTCAGACAATGATTGCACCCGGCAAGAAGGCTCCAGTGGATCTTGAAAGCTACTTGGCTATTTTTGTGGACGAAATTCGTGATCTTAGTGAACATGGCATGCTGGTTCGAGTGAATGGTGGTGAAGTTGCCCGAGTAAGCGTTCATTTGGCAATGGCGACAGGCGATCTTGTAGAAGTATCACATTTGATGTTGCATGGAGGAGTCTCCAGTCAGTTTGGCTGTATGAAGTGCCTCATAGACACACAAGGAGGCCAATGCTTTACTCGCACAATCAGAAATTTCCAATACAGAACTCTCGAACAACTGAAAGCACCACTGCCTGTTGGCGTAAAACATGTGTTTGTAAGTGAAGCGATTTCATTAAACAATCATGTATAGTTCTTGTACCAACCATCATCTCTTCTATAGAACATCAAAGGACCATCCATATTTACCACTCTCAAGTCTTTTCCTGCCAACCCATCGTTCTACGGTCTCGACACGCTTCACCTACTGAGCATTGGAT